TTCTTGGCGAAGAATTTTGACCTCATTGACACAAATGCTAGTCCTTTTTTTCACAGTTTTGCGGCAAATGAATGGTTGATCCAACGGTTAGAAATACTCAGTGCAGCAGTTCTTTCTTCTGCAGCACTATGCATGAGTTTGCTTCCTCCTGGAACGTTTAGCTCTGGTAAGTTTTTAAGTTTTCCTGGAATTGCCTGGCTAAAGGGGAAAGAAGTCATTGTTGCTATCTTCTAGTATTTTAGACATCTTTTGTTGCACAGAAAATCACTAGAGATGATTTATATTTGTAGCATAATTTAAGCTATGGAGCCTTATACAATTTTGTTGTTGTCAAAACGAGCCTTATACAATTTACTGTGTCACTGCAGGATTCATTGGAATGGCACTTTCATATGGTCTTTCATTAAACATGTCCTTGATGTTTTCAATTCAGAACCAGTGCACTATAGCAAATTATATCATTTCTGTTGAAAGACTAAATCAATACACCCATATACCGAGCGAAGCCCCTGAAATAGTAGAAGGAAGCCGTCCCCCAGCCAACTGGCCTTTTTTCGGTAAAGTGGAGATACAAAATTTGCAGGTAAATATTGGCAGCTTTTGTGTTATAACTAAACAAGGTTAGAGTTAAAGTAGATGACTGATACTTTTGATATAAAAACAGATCAGATACAGGGCCGATACACCACTTGTTCTTCGTGGGATCAGTTGCATATTTGAAGGAGGACACAAGATTGGTATTGTTGGTCGAACTGGCAGTGGGAAGTCGACTCTCATTGGTGCTCTGTTTCTTCTGGTGGAGCCAGCCGGAGGGAAGATCATAGTTGATGGCATTGACATCTCTACAATCGGACTTCATGATCTGAGGTCACGTTTTGGAATAATACCTCAAGATCCTACTCTCTTCAATGGGACTGTGAGATACAATTTGGATCCCTTATCCCAACATTCAGACCAGGAAATATGGGAGGTACAAGACAAGTCCTATAATGCTTGTTTTCTGTAATATTTGGTTTTGAATGTTGAAAGTATGGTTGCAAATTTCTCTAAGCAAAGAGTTATCTGTACATTATGAAGGTTCTTGGGAAGTGTCAGCTTCGAGATGCTGTTCAGGAGAAAGGTGGCTTAGACTCCTTAGGTAAGTTTTGATATATCAGTGTGTGATGTGCAATTTTGCCTGTAAATTGTGATCAGCAGTAGCAACTGATGACCTGATTTGCAGTTGTAGATGATGGATCAAACTGGAGCATGGGACAAAGGCAATTGTTCTGTTTGGGGCGTGCTCTTTTGAGGAGAAGTCGGGTACTGGTGCTTGATGAAGCAACCGCATCGATCGACAATGCCACCGATATGATTCTACAGAAAACTATACGGACTGAATTTGCAGATTGTACCGTGATTACGGTAGCTCACAGGATACCGACTGTGATGGATTGCACAATGGTTCTTGCCATTAGTGATGGTGAGTTTCATTAGTTAAATGCTCATCTATATATCAGTTGTTTTGTTCAATCATAATTGTTGGAAAAAATATCAGAGAAACATTGAATGAAAATGGTTGTCTATTTCAGGACAAATAATGGAGTATGATGAGCCAATGAATTTAATGAAAAGAGAAGGCTCCCTATTTGGGCAGCTTGTCAAGGAATACTGGTCTCATATCCAGTCTGCAGAATCCCATTGAATATATATTGCAATATTGGCTTTTGGGCCACGACTGTTGTAAATCATTACAAGAACTGCTAGTCTGAAGAAGTGCCAATGCGAGGATTGGGAGATCGTGTTCTATGCTGTGCCTGCGTGCGTGTGTGAAAAAGAAGAAAAAAAAGATGCGAAAGCATGAAAAGTAAGGGGCAGGCAAAGGCCAAAACAGAGTTATTATTAAAAATGATAAAATCGCCCACATTATCAGTCGGCATGCAGCAACCTTAGTCCTGTGTAAATTAAAGATGATGGTGATATGCACTAATACTATATTCTTCAGATCCCGTCGGTTGTATTTTCTCATCATGGTCGGCAATCATTTGCATTAATATTAGCTGTTAAATTTGGATCTCGCTGGACACTAAGTCCTGTGTAATTGATCTTTTCTCAATAGTACATACACCTGTTGCCACTGGATATACCAAGGAATGTAAAATTGGATGCGTGGCAACACAAATTATGCACCAGATGAGGTAGACATGTGGAGCTGTGTCTCCTTGTTGATGTTGAGATGAAAGTAGATGAAAGCGGAGCTATATACTTCGTAGCAGTAATATGTGAGTTTATGAACAGAGGGGTACCCTGGAAAGTTCTATTTCCCAGGGATGAATGGCATGAATAAGCCAGCATATGCTGCAATAGGCACCCGTTCACCTACAAAACCAGTTTTAATATTTGTTTCCTCTCGTCAACAGACAAGGCTTAGCATCCAAGGTCATACTGTAACTTCCTCTGAAATTCATAAAATTGTGCATGTATTAACAGAAATAAAAAGTGTGATACTAATAATAAGCCAGCATATGCGGCAAAAGGCACCAATTCACATACAAAACCAGTTTTAATATTTGTTTCCTCTCGTCAGAACAGACAAGGCTTAGCATCGAAGGTCATGCTGTAACTTCCCTCTGAAATTCATAAAATTGTGCATGTATTAAAAGAAATAAAAGTTGTGCTACTAATAATAAAATCCAGGAAATAAACGATTCTTTCTTCTTCCTTTTTCCCTGCCTGGATCAACGAAAACTGTGGATGTTCATCATTCTTAAAAATGCTCCTGTCCTTCAAACTTGTGAGAAAGTTCAACCTGTTCAACATGTAACAAGTGGTTAATATTGAAAGCAGAGCATAACACACCTCTCATGATTGACATTGAAGAATTACAAAAAATTGAAACTAGTTCATCTTGCTATGATAAACCACATTCGTGGTTGCTCTATAGGAATTTAAATGTCACAAACAGATATTATCCTTTCAGATTATAGGTAATATCGCATCTCCAATTGCATCCCTTTCAAATTATACCCACACGGTCCATATAATCCATTTCCCTGACATCTTAAGGAACTTCAAAATTATCCCAATAAGTTCACACATTTCCTAATTGCCACTAACACTGCTAGTATAATTTCAGATGATCGTATTCTTAACTACTCTGGTTAATAGTAACCTATTTCCATTGTTTCTTTTATTATTAATTCTTTTTTAGAAAGCCACTGTTTCTATGTTAGATGAGTAAAACTTCCAATGATTACTGCATCAATACAGATCCTAGTTTTTTTAGTACAGCAATATATTTATTTTTCACTTCAGTCATATTCTGTTGATAAATTATCTCTTTTAACCAGAGCAATATAAAAACTAAAAACAATTGAAGAGAAAAGAAATGGCACATATACTCCAACGGAAACATATTATACAAATATATGTACATATATAAATATATATATATTTAAAAAGTATAGAGGTGATAATGTACCTTCACGAACTGGTCACCATTGATGCCAAGCCCAACTCTTCATCAGCATCAGTCACATCTTCAAAATTGTAAAAGGGATCTGCCTTTGGTCTTGGAGTAATTGCTTCGAAACTATGAAATACAGGATCATCAAAATTAGGGGGTTCCAAGATAATGTAAGCCCCTTTATTTTTGTACCTCTTTTCTGTCCCCTGAAATTGTGGGTAGTCTGGAGCACTAAACAAAGTGATCAGCTTTCCTGACTCCACAATGTGATCGATGGTGTACCCTTCATCCATTCCACCAAGACTTGGTCTCTTTTTTCGTGCATCAGGGCCTTCATGCGATCTGATAATCAACTTCAGTTGAAATTTCTTGAGAAAATTATCAGTGCAATCAGGACCCCACATCAAACCAATTCCTCTCTCGATATTAAAAGAGAGACCCGGAGTCGTTGAAGGATCCGACCACATCACGTCGCCGGGAATCAAGTTGGAACCCTCCCATGAAGGATCAAGAACTAATCTTCTAGCCTTATTTAGTTCTTCAAAAGATCCCAAAGATAATGACTTGGATTCAGGATTGAAAGCCATCCTACGACTCTTCATTCCCTTTGATTTCTTGGGGATCACAGGGATGTGGCGAAATACACCTCCATGTGCAGTGTACACATGTTTACCAATGAGGGAAGCCAAAGGAAGACTTTTAAAGCACCCAAGACATCTACGATACACATGCTTGCCTCTATCACTATATTTTGTCAACACTTCCTTCTCAAAACCATAAATAGAAGTGCAATACTTTGATTCATGATTTCCTCGCAAAAGATACACCCTTTTTGGCATGAACACTTTCCAAGCTAACACAATTAGGAAAGTTTCGAGACCCCAAGCACCTCTGTCAACATAATTTCCATTGAAGACAAAGAATCGATTTTC